AGATTCCTTTGGAGAAGGCTGGGGGAAAGATTGACGTTACAGATTTTTGGCAATGTAGTGGGGTCCTTCCTCAAAGGAACCTGACCTCCCCTTCATTCAAGGGGTTGTGGGTCTGTAAACTGACTCAAGTCTGGGAATTGATTGAGAGGTCATGACTCTGTATTCTGTAAACTGACTCAAGTCTGGGAATTGATTGAGAGGTCGTGACTCTGTATTCTGGTGATTCAATCTAGGTAGCTGTTCATGTGACCTAGAATTCTTCTGTCTATACAGATCAAGTAAATATTTAGTAGGCTGCCATGTATTTCACTACTAGGAACACCATGAGCAAGTAGCCAATGCCATAATTCCACATGAGTCAGACTATTCTGATTAGTATTCCGACTCTGTTGTCCATTATGATAATCATGCCCACCTTGCCTTTGTCGATTAACTGCTGCCACTTGGCCCCTACTACCATGGGGTCCAATCAGCCCTATTGTAGTTAAGTGTCTTAGTTCAATTAGGGCAGTTCCCACTGTCAAATCAGGTTTACATAAAATAGCAATCACAGCAGTCTTCAAGGATGCTGGAGTTCCCATCACAAATTTATTCCTCACAGTACTGGTGAAAGGTGTGTCTTCTGGACTCTCCATTTCTGGCTCTAGGGGTCTAATGTGATAAATCCATTCTAACAGGCAAATTTCCCTGAGCCTCTGGATACCTTCTACTACATTAAACCAAGGTAGGTCTAGTACTTCAACTTGACTTAAAGTAGGCCACCGCATAATCCATGCCTCAGTCAACCAACCAAATAAACTCAGATCTTTTCCTAACCTCTCAAGCTGAGACATTGAATGAGGAATCCATACGTAGTGGGCCTAAATCAATAAACTCAGACTGATCCAATCTTACATTCCTTGCACCATTATCTCACACCTTCAGTAGCCATTCGCATACATATTCTCCAGGTTTCTGTCTGTACATATTAGCAAAATCAAGTATGTCTTTTTGGGTATAGCGTATCATCTCCTCAGTCACACTTTCTATTTAACCTCTTGGGGCTCACTTGGACTTGACTTTAGTTATCGTCCTAGCTACAACAATAGGTGCTTGAGGGAGTTCCTGAGAGCATTCAGGAATGTCTTCCATGGCCTCTGCCTCAAACAATGACCCAGCAGGGCCGGTTTGGCTAGTCCCATCAAACTGAGGGGGAGAGGATAATGGTTTTACAGTAATCCGTTCAGATGGGAGGGATTCAACAGAATTTACAGGCTCCATAGCCTGATCTTTCTGATTATCTGTCAATATGTCCCCATTCCAGGTTTCAGGATCCCATTTTTTTTTTTTTCCAATCAATGCCCTCACTTTAACGGCAGACACTGTTCTGGATTGGCAATTTAGCTGGCATTGTAATTCAGCCACTCTTACAATAAGACTCTGGGTTTGGTTTTCAGCGATATTAGCTCTGTTAGTAGAAGCTATAAGGCTTTCTTTCAGAGCACAGCTGGAAGCACTGAGGTCTTTTATGCGGCACTTAAGCCAAGACTCAGCAGCTTTGAGCTCATCTCACTCTTTCACCAATTTATCCAGTGTAAGTAGGACCAACCAACCAGCTTCCTTATACTCTCATTCTGACAAAATTGCAGAAAAGTATCAAATATCCAATCACCCAGAGCATCACTTCTCACAAGTACTTGATCTATCGGTGGTGCTATTTCCCATATTTTGCCTCCTCATGCCACAGATTAGTAGGGCCCTCTTTACTAGCAGACGTAGAGTCACTAGTGTCATCAAAATTAATCAAACTGGAGAACCAACCTAGGAAGCACATCCTTATGATTTTGTCTCTCTAGAACCACTCCTGGTACCAAATGTATTAGACTGGGTTCTCTAGAGAAACAAAAACCAGCAATGCTTATGTATATATAAAGAGAGAGAGAAATTTATCTTAGGAAAATGGCTCACAAATGTATAGAAGCCGACAAGTCCAAAGTCCCTAGAGCAAATGTCAGGCTGGAAGCTTTTTCCTACAGTGGGCCGAGAAGCTCAAGGCTGGCAGGCAGTATACCGGCTGCTGACTCCAATGAATGACGAATCCAAGATCTCCAGGCCGAACAGTGGACTGCTCACTCATGGACAGTTGTAGGCAGCATACCAGAATCCCAATCCACAGAATAATCTCTCTCTTCCCAGGATGTCCCAGGATATCCTGGAAGCAGGCCACACCCCTAGGGAACTCCCCTTGAACTGGCTGATCACTCAGAACATAGTCATCTGATCCCATCATGGGAACAACCACACAGAACTGGGGTCTAGTCAAGTTGACACACAGCTCCAACTATCACATGAGGCATGGCCTGGGTTCCTTCCCCTCACCTGGATCCCTGTGGCTGACTCCTCACTCTGTCCCTGTCCCCCTGCCCTTTTTCCTCTCCTTTCCCCTGCTTTTCCACCTTGCCACTTGTGGGGCGTGGCCTGGGTTCCCTCCCCTTACCTGGATCCCACTGCAGACTCCTCTGACTCATAGCGTAAACACTTACAGAAGGTAGCAAGTCCCAAGTTTTTGGATCAAACGTCAAGCTGGAGGCTTTTCCCAACTCACACAGCTGCAGGGGCTGACGAGCTCAAGGTTGGCAGGTAGTATGCTGGCTGTTGACTCCAATGAATGACGAATCCAAGATCTCCAGGCCGAATGGTAGATAGTTCACTCATGGCAGTACAACAGGATCCCAATCCACAGAAGAATTAAGAAGTAATGTTGTGTAATTGATACCAGTGTGTCTGTCCCTACACAAAATGTTTTCAGTTTTATCATAATGTATCTCGTGCATCTAGGTATCATCTATTTTCCATGTTTTATCCTAGAATGTAGCTGGGTTTCATGATTTGCTGGCCTGGTTTTCATCCCTACCTCAGTAATGATCAATAGCATGGTATTGGGTCAGTTTTTAAATCTCACTTAGTTTCAGTTTCCTAATGTGTGTCATGAGTAATAGAACTACTTCTTATGATTTTTAATAGAACTACTTTAAATAGTTTATATAATAATAGAACTACTTCATATGGAGATTAGGGAAAATAAAAACAGTGCTCCCAGGTAGATTTTATTATCTCACACATAAGGAAATTAGGATATATAGAGATAAGAAAAAAACCCAAACTCATTGCCATCCAGTTGATTCTGATTCATAGTGACCTCCATTGGTTTTCCCAGGCTCTAAATCTTTACAGAAGCAGACTGCCTCATTTTTCTTCCATGGAGCAGCTGGTGGGTTTGACCAAATTTTTTGGTTAGCAGCCAAATGTCTTAACACCACCAGAGCTTCACATAGTAGAGATTAGATAGTAGTAAATGTGCATCCACTTCATTGGTGACCATGCCAGGGCCATGGGAAGGACCTATTTCTGCTTGTTCGGTACTGTTTCTAGTAGCCAACCAAAGATATTAGGAGTTCAAAGATTATGATAAAACTTTTCTGAAGGCAGAAATGACCAGTCCTAACTTTAGAGTCTAAAATATGGCCAACTAATATATATATATATATATTACACATTACAGTTCTAGGTGAGGATGAAGCAATGATAAACAAGGTCCCTGCCCTTAAGGACCTTATATTCTACTCTGGTAGCATTGTGCCTAAGGCACTTGACTGCTAACCAAAAGGCTGGCAGTTCAAACCCACCAGCCACTCCTTGGAAGGAAGGTCGGGAAATCCTACTTCTGTAGTGATACTGCCTCGGAAACCCAAGGAGGGGTTGCTATGAGTCGGGGCCGACTTGATGGCACATAACAACAACAACAAGAGCAAATAATAAATAAAATAATTTCAGAGGTAAATGATATCAGAGTGAGGTGAGAGAGCCTATCTAGGTCAAGGGTGGGATCCTACCTTAACCAAACCATTGCCATCCAGTCGACACAACTCCTTTAACCACTACACCACTGGAGAAGCTTTTCTTTTTTTAAGGTATAACCAAAACCAAACCCACTGGTATCAAGTCAAGTCTGACTCATAGCAACCCCCATTGGGTTTCTGAGGTGATAAATCTTTACAGAAGTAGATTGCCCTAACTTCTTTCTGCGTTTTTAAAGTATGTTGTTATTGTTGTTACGTGCCGTGGAGTCGGCCCGACTCACAACGACCCCTCCTTGGGTTTCCGAGGCCGGAGCTCTGGTAGCATAGTGGCTAAGACACTTTGCCTGCTAACCAGACGGCTGGCGGTTCAAACCCACCAGCCACTCCTCGGAAGGAAGGTTTGGCAATCCTACTTCCGTAGTGATACTGCCTCGGAAACCCAAGGAGGGGTCGCTATGAGTCGGGGCCGACTCGACGGCACATAACAACAACAACAACATCACTACAGGAGGATTGCCTAACCTTCCCTCCCAGGAGTGGCTGGTGGGTTTGAACCGCCACCCTTCTGGTTAGCAGTCATATGTCCAAAATATTGCATGAGAGAGTCTTATTTTTTTTTAAAGTATTCCTTGTTATCTAAAATAACTGAGAATCCTGTATTTTTATTGGCTAAATCTGGCAACTATAGACACTAGAAAGCAAATGCCCTGTTCCCCATTGTCTATCCGGGATTAGCATACTGCCATGCGCAGAGTAGGAGCCCATACCTGCTTATTTAATGAATTAATAAAGGATTAAACCAAATAATAAGTGACAATAAAAGACAGAACGAGAACTCTGTCCAAGGGAATGAACGAGGAACACCAGTTAAGTGTGCAGCGTCCCCAAGGCCGAGGGTGGCGTACGCGCTGAGGTCATGGGAGCCGGCGGGCCTGATGACGTCACCGCGCCCGCGCGTTCGATCTCGCTGGGGCTCTGGTGGTGCCGGCACATCCTGCTGCTTCTAGTAATTGGGGGTTTTGCGTTGACCCTCCTCATCCAGCACAGGCTGCCTGTGAACCGTCAGGTCCCAGCAGTGGCCTCTGAAGCCTACAGCCCCTGGCGTTAGCCGCTAGCCTTCAGGCCTGGGCAGCTCTCCTCCGGGGAGAACATCTCAGGACCATGTCCAGGCCAAGTAGCGTCTCTCCTCGGCCCCCAGCTCTTGGCGGGGGCGGCGGAGGCGGGAATGGTGGCGGAGGGGGCGGCCTAGCGCACTGTTGCATCGGTGGCGGTGGCCGGGCCAAGGGGCTGAAGGACATTCGTATCGACGAGGAGGTGAAGATCGCAGTAAATATCGCCCTGGAGCGATTCCGATACGGGGACCAGAGAGGTGAGGTTCCTGACAGGGACCCCGCCGTCTGGCGTCCCCCCAAACACCTACCCATCGAGTTAGCGGGCTACCCTCACCCGTCTCAGAGAGGGAGAGAGGACTTGTGCCGCCCACCATAACCCACCAGAGTGAGCTGGTGACCTTCCTTACTCTCTCCCTTATTCGAAGGCGGGACGGGAGCCGGGACCGGTAGTTCGCTCTCGGTTGAAATGTGGAGAACCAAACAATGTAGTGCGAATCTGTAGGGTTATGGGCACTTGCCTGACACCAGAAGGTGAAAAGGTCTGATTATTACTCATGCGGGAGACGTTTCCTTCTCCGTGGAGAGGCTAAGCCACCGTTTTATAGGTATTAGTATTTGATATCTTTACTCTCTTTTTTAAGTAGAAGTTTGTAGTCTTAACAGAGTTAACGTTTAAGCTATGAAAGTAGAAATCAAACATAAATAAATGCACTGGCAATCTGTAGTGCTGTGTTCAAATTCTAGAACATTATGTTAAACACTTGAAAAAGTTGGACTTTTTTTTTTGGCATACGAAGCATCTTCCATTCTTTTTAAGATTAGAAAGCCCCTTGTCACAGAACGCAGAACCAGCAAACGACCTGTGGTGATCAGTACAATATATATTTAGTGCTCATTCTAATTTGGTGGGTTAAATAGTGGACCTCTTATTCTGGAAGCTTACACTGGAAACCAGGGAATGATCTGGACATGGTGATTCTGAACATAAATCAAACAAAGGTAAATCTCAGCAATGTATAAGGACAAAATTCAGCCTGAACTACTGAAATATGAATTCTCTGACGTTTCTGAAGCGAAGCAAATAGAATTTGATGTTGAGCATTCATAATGCTTGAGCATACCTCATCATTGAGGGAAATAAACAAATATGGACTATGTTAAGATAGTACAATATGTCCATTAATTTTTATACCAAGTCAAGATTCCAGCACAAATGAAGGCTGTAATCTTCGGCAAACCTCCAGTCCTTTATCATATTTAGGTTTAATACGTAAGTGAAATTAATATTAAAATTCTAGTAGACAGTAGTTATTGAATAAGTAGTTATCTACTTATCACATAAATTTGGTAAATAATTCATTTGATTATATGCTTACATGATTTTTATTTTGTATTTTTCATCTATTTGTGTATTGAAGCTCCTTTAAAGGAAGTTGCCTGTCCAGAAGTGTTGCTGACTATTTTGTGTCTTTTTCCACGTAGAAATGGAATTTCCTTCTTCTTTGACCAGTACTGAAAGAGCTTTTATTCATCGATTGAGTCAGTCTCTTGGTTTGGTCTCTAAAAGTAAAGGGTAAGCTGATAATGTTTCTTATTAAAGATTATTTGGAAAACAAGAGAAATATTTCTCACTACATTTAAATAGTTATTACTATTTTAAATTCACATTCTTAATTATCCTGAATATAGGTAAACTGATTCAGGTCTGTACCCAATTCACTTCTCCTCCTCCTGGGGCAAAAAATCCCCTAGGTTTTAAAATGTAAGAAAAAATAGTTTAAAACTTGAAGTTGATTGCTTGAGAAAAATAGTGCTTTCTTTTTTGATAGAAATAAAACATCTTAATTTTTAGAGAACTAATGGAAAAATGATCATTTAGAAAACAAAAATTATTTACAGAACTTATCTTTGTAATGTTACTGTACCATAATGGTAAGCTTTAGAACACATATTCATTGTTTTCTACTAAGTCAAGAATCTGATGATTAGAAAGGGTTAAAGTGGAATGGAAAGAAACGATGTATGTGTTTTTGAGTGTCACTGACCCTTAGGAGAGAAAGTTATTTGAGCCATCCAAACTTAAAAATACTAAAATTCTGTGACGATTTCTTTTGGAGAATAGGCATTGATAAACAGCAGAGTATTTCAATATTGGCACTATTACATTTTGGGCTGGAGAATCCTTTGTTGGTGTTGTATGTGCATTGTAGAATTTTCAGCAGCATATCTGGCTTCTGCTCACTAGATGCCAATAACATCTACCAGCCCAGTTGTGACAACCAAAAATGCCTGTAGACATTGCCAGATATTCCTTCTGATATGAGGGGGGGTGGGGAGAAAATTTTAGCTTACCTGTTTTTAGGTTAAGAAAAGGAAAAATTTTATTTTACACACACACACACACATACACACACATTATGTATATGTCAAGGTAGAATGAGTAAGAAAGTTTTGAGGTGAAAGTATGTTTTCTTACGAAAATCCTGAGAAGAATGAACATCTTGCATAAGAATGCCCAGCACAGTGATACATTACTGACTGAGATAGGGGATTTAGTTTAGGTGACTGTGTAATTGGGTAGGTTCTTGAACATGCTCATATTAGTCCACTAAGTAGGTAAAAGGAGCTATGATAGCATAGTGGGTAAGATATTTGGCTGCTTACCAGAATGTAAGCTATTCACACCCACCAGCTGTTCCATGGGAGGAAGATGAGGCAGTCTACTTCCATAAAGATTTATAGCCTTGGAAACCCAGTGGTTGTTGCTGTGAGTTGGAATCGACTTGATGGCAGTGGGTTTGGTTTTTTAAGTAGGTAAAATACTGCATTTGAAAATAAAAATATAGTACAGGGCTATAATCCTTTATCTAAAAATACTTGGACCAAATATGTTTGGAGATTCAGATTTTAGAAAGGGATTATGATGCATTTGTCTTGGCATTACTCCCAATAACATATTGGTATTATCTCTAATCTCATTAATATTTCTGCTGGAAAGTATATAAATATTCACACTAGGAGAAATTATAAATAAAGACTATAAAGACTATAAATGCTCTCAGACCAGTTGAGTAGATTTTGTTGCCAGATTATGTTGTTGCAAACTTAACAAAAAAAAAACCTTTTAGTTTTACAGCATTTTGGGTTCTAGCATTGTAGATAAGAGTTTGTGGGCCTGCACTACAAAACATATGCACAGTTCTGTAGCTACATCGTTTATGTGATTTTTGAGTTCCAAACAGCTGACTTAACAATCACATTAGAAATAACTCTTAGAAAAATAGCGTTTAGAATTAACTACCTCTACCACTGTTCAGTATCATGATCACTTAAGACATGATCCAGAATGGACAGACTTCTAAGGAAGGGAGAGCAAGAAAAAAATTATCAGGACAAAGAATAGGGATTAGGAAACATTGAGCCAGAGAAAGACAGGAAAAAGCAAAGAATTGGTAAGGGAAGCAAAGCAACCCTGCTTGCTCATGTAGTCCCTAGTATCTATGCTTCCCAAACTCTTCTGATATATCCTGGTTCCCTCCTCCTCCTTTTCATCTTTGAGCAAAACTTGGTACAATGTTTATCTAATGATCTTTGTGATTTTCATATACCTTTCCTCCTTTATGAGGCGCTCTGGTGACATAGTGCCTAAGGCACTTGACTGCTAACCAGATGGCTGGCAGTTCAAACCCACCAGCCACTTCTTGGAAGGAAGGTTGGGCAATCTACTTCCATATTGATATCGCCTCAGAAACCCTTGGAGGGTTTGCTATGAGTCGAATCCGACTCGATGGCAGTGTGTTTGGTTTTTTTTTCCTCCTTTTCACAAGTGTGAAAATATGGCTTCTCTAGGAAATCTAAAGGAAAAAATAGTATATTCTCAGCAAAATATAAAGAACGAAATTACTTTAAATGTACTTCTCAATCCTTCAATTTTTTTTTTTATTTATATGAGAATTTTTTCTGACGTATATTTCATGGACTTTTCTGTTGACTTTTGGGCAAAGAATTTTTTTTACCCTCCACCATTAAATTCCTGACTTTTATTGGTGTTGTCAGTTATCTTTGACTCAGCTCTGACTAGTGGTGACCTTATATAACTTAATGAAATGTTGCCATCTTCATGATGGTTGGTATGTTTGAGTCCACTGTTGCAGAAATTATGTCAATCCATCTGATTAAGGGTCTCCCTTGATTTCACTGATCCTTTATTTTTCATGGACTTTACAGGGTAGTTTTTTGGCTATTCTTCTTTTGTCTCTGATAGGATGGTTCCTTAGAACATATTTGAGAAGCAACCTGATATGGAGGAAATGGAAGGAAACATGGGTCTACTTCCCATTTCTAACTGCCTCATTCTCTGACTTTGAAGGCCTGTTTTCTTAAATATAATGAAGGGGTTAACCTTTTTGTTTTAGTTAAGATTTTGGGGCATTTGTCTGCTAACCAGGAGGTTGGCAGTTCAAACCTACCAGCTACTTTGTGGAAGGAAGATGGGGCAATCTACTTCTCTGAAAGTTTACTGCCTTGGAAACCCAGTGGGGGTTGCTGTGAGTTGGAATGGACTTGATGGCAGTTGAGTTTGGTGGGTGTTTTTGGTAGTTTACTTTGGCCCTTCTTTTAAGGTTTTTAAAGGTAGCTCTCAGGTTTCCTGTGTTGATTACTTGCATTCCGTTTTCATCATTTTCTCCTTTTTTTGCCATCATTTCTTTCAAAATGAAGCCATGTATGTTGGATTTTGTTTTCCATCTTCCAACTGAAGAATTGAGTTTTGTTTTGTTTTGATTATATTTTATAGTTTTTTTTTTTTAAAAAAACAAAAAAACCCAAACTCACTGCCTGCGAGTCGGATCTGACTCATAGTGACCCCTCCTTGTGTTTCTGAGGTGGTATCACTATGGAAGTAGATTGCCCAATCTTCCTTCCAAGGAGTGGCTGGTGGTTTGAACCACCAGCCTTCTGATTAGCAGTCAGATGCCTTAGGCACTATGCCACCAGAGCTCCTATTTTGATGAAATACGTTCTTTTGATGAAAATGTTCTTCTTAGAGTAATGCACTCATTTTGTGATCTTTAGTATATTCTAAAGTTTTGTTTGAAATGCCAGTCCAGTTTTCTAAACCAAACATTTCACCTCCTCACAGTTTACTTTTTACCTCAGTTAAAGCCCCTGTAGGGAGCTCTGTAAGGAGCTCTGGTGGTGGTGGTGGAAGCATTGAGCTGCTAACTAAAAGGTCAGCAGTTAGAACATACCAGCTGCTCTATGGGAAGATGCGGCAATCTGCTTTTGTAAAAATTTCTAGCCTATGGGGCAGTTCTGTTCTGTCCTATAGGGTCAATGTGAGTCAGAATCAGCTTGATGGCAGTTAGTTTTTTTGAATGCCCCTGTGCTTTGGTCTTAAGAGCATGCTTTTCTGAGTTTTTGATTTGTTCATGAACAAAACAAAATCCCTTTCTTATTCTTAGCTCAGGTTAGACAGAATGGAATTTACAGAATAAACTTGGTTAAAACTTGTGAAATGAGAAAATACAAAGTATGTCAAAGTAGGTTTTCCAAGTTTAGGTTTCTTATGCTGTGACTGCTAAAATCTCTGCTTACTAGGTACTTGAAGGCTATACTTAGAAGACTCCAGTCTACAAGAACAACCCCTTTATAGCTTGGGTTACTGCTTCCATTGCCTCCTGTCTTGGAAATTTTCATTAAAGTGATGAACTCTAGTTACTGAAATTTTGGTTGTCCACTGGGGGGAAAAACCCTATAGTATCCAATAATTACCATAATAAAAAAACCCATTGCTGTCAAGTCAGATCTGACTCATAGTGACCTCTCCTTGGGTTTCTGAGGCAGTATCATGGAAGTAGATTGCCCAGCCTTCCTTATGAGGAGTGGCTGGTGGGTTTGAATGGCCAGCCTTCTGGTTAGCAGTCAAATGCCTTAGGTACTACACCACCAGAATTCCCAATTATCGTAATAGCAGCTAACAATGATTAAATATTCTTGTGCAATAGGCATGTGTTAGGTGCTTTAAACTGATTATCATATCATCCTCACAACAGTATTATGATGTAGGTTGCATTGTAACATTTCGTACCTGGATAACAGATGAGGTAATTAAAGCTTGTTGTTGTTGTTGTTATGTGCCGTCCAGTCGGACCCAACTCATAGCAACCCCTCCTTAGGTTCCGAGGCAGTATCACTACGGAAGTAGATTGCCCTATCTTCCTTCGGAGGAGTGGCTGGTGGGTTTGAACCACTGGCCTTCTGGTCAGCAGTCAAGTGCCTTACGCACTACGCTACCAGAGCTCCAATTAAAGCTTAGAAGGGGTTAAATAATTGTCCCACGACCACTCAGCTAGCAAGTGGTAGAGCCAGAATGTAAACACAGTTAATGTTTAGTTAAGTTTTTGATGTTCATGGTAAATTCATAGCAGTGTACTGGGTTTTATCAGGAGTTAGACCAAGAATATTATAGGGTGAACCCTTCATGCTGTTTCTAGTCCATTAGGACCACAAAAAAGAACAAATTTACCATAACCATGGTGAGTATGACATAAAAACAATTGTGTTCAATTTGGTGAAAAAGTTAACTGGTTGGTATGTTAGTTTCTAGGTAATCATAAAAAAGTACAAATTAGTGTGTTACAAACTAATAAGTTTTTAATCCTACATTACAATATTGGAGAGAGAATGGTTACATTAAAATTATTTTAATTGTTTCATCACTGTGGCATCATGTAGGCACAAAAACAACAACAAGGACTTGTTAAGGAATAGGTGACACCATAGAAAGGTTACAAATCATTAAAGAAGTCAATAAAATTTTTAGAAATTAAAAATCTTGGTAAATTGAAGGCCTCATATAGAAGATTTAAGTAGCTAAAACTTTACAGATTGATCCCAAGTTTAGTATCATTTTCATAATGCAGATATTTTTGAAGAATTTAATATCTAATGAAAATCCGAAAAATAAAAAAAATTATACATGTAATTTTCATTGTATTTTTGCCTGTATTGCATATTATAGTGATGTTAACAAATGGTTAAAAATTTATGAAATATTTTAGATAACTTTTTTAAAATGTAAGAAATGATGTTTTTCTAACTATAATTTTAATAATAAACCTAAAGCAAACCAGTGCCATAGAGTCCATTATGACTGTGATGACCTCTTACCAGTACTACACTGCTAGTTTATGGACATGTATTATTAAATAAGTCAAAACACATTTGAGGACTTTCTGTCTGATGATATTATATAAAAGGCACGGACAGTCTTGAGCCAGTTGAAGAAACAAGTACTCCTACATTACATGACTTGAGAATAATTATAAATTATTACCTTGCAGTTAAGGAAAGGCTAGGGCTAGAAACTTTGAAAAAGTTTCTAAAAATAGAATAATGAAGTAATTTTCAGGAATGTTTATCTATGCTTGTTGGTCCAGCCACTTAACTTGGCTCTCTTAACAGATCTTCATGGGAGTGTGACATTGCCAGCATACTGTGGAAACATTCAGTGGGATATATTAGTCTGGACAGTGAGCCATAACATTTTCATTGTAATTTCTAGATTCTGTTCAGGTTGTTTTTCTTCCTCTGTATGCTTTCCAACATGTGTTAACTGGTGATGTTTTATCTACCATGAAGCCTATTAGAGAAAACTTTAACACTTATGGGTAAGTAAGTCTTTTTAGTTGATTTAAAATAGAATTTGCAACATTTCAAAATTGTAAGGAAAATGCTTTTGTGACCATTTTAGCACCAAGCCCCTCTTCACTGGTTTTTTTTTTTTTTGGGGGGGGGGCTGTCAGCATCTTATCTCAAAGCATGTTTATTTTTTTAGGTATTTTGCTTGAGACATATTTTCTGAATAGGCTTACATCATATGTGAACAAATTTGACTATATGTAGTAAATAAATGATTTTTTTATTAATATTTAGAAAGGGAGCCAATAGATATCTAACTGTGAAGAAGAAAGATGGATCAGAAACAGCTCATGCAATGATGACCTGTAACTTGACTCATAATGCAAAACATGCTGTTAGGAGCCTAGTTCAAAGATTTCCTGTCACCAATAAAGAACGTACAGAACTTCTGCCTAAAACAGAGAGAGGAAATGTGTTTGCCGTTGAAGCTGGTATGTATTTTTTCGGGAGCTTCCTTGTTTACCCTATTATCTGATGACTGTTCTTTTTCCATTTTAGATTTATTTTAAAAAATAAAAACAAAAACCTAAGATAAGATTTCTCGATTTGAATAGGGATTGCTAAAATGACTAAAAGTTGTGAAATTTTGGAGTGAAATGTAGTGTTAAGGCATGTTGTAGACTTGAACCAAGGTTTTTTTTTTTTTTTTTTCTGGTGGCATAGTGCCTAAAGCACTTGACTGCTAACCAGAAGGCTGGCAGTTCAAACCCACCAGCAACCCCACCAGCCACTTCTTGGAAGGAAGGTTGGGCAATCTACTTTTGTAGTGATACCACCTCGGAAACCCAAAGAGGGGTTGCTATGAGTCGGGTCTGACTCAGCGGCAGTGAGTTTTGGTTTTTGGTATTAGCTATCATTCACTGAGCACTTGTGTACTAAGGAGCTCTGGTTAAAGCATTTGGCTGCTAACCAAAAGATTGAACCCACCAGCCAGCTGCTCTGCAGGAGAAAGTTGAGGCAGTCTGCTTCTGTAAAGATTTACAGCCTTGGAAACTCTATGGGGCAGTTCTGTTCTATCCTGTTGGGTCACTATGAGTTGGAATCCACTTGATGGTGGTGGGTTTATTTTGGTATATTGTGTGCTAGGCAGTAAACTAAGCATTTTATTATAGAGGGACTTCGTTGCAACCTTTGCAAGGTAAGAATTTCCCCAGTATCACAGGTGAAGAAACTAGAGCTCAAAGAAGTTAAATAATTTGTTAAAATCTACTTAGCCATCCAGTAAGCTGCATTGCTGGGATTTGACTGTAAGGCCTGCACTTTCCCATATTACACTGCCATGACACACTAACAAGTGAGATTTTGAATTGGGGCTCCAGTATGTTAACTCATTCAAATGTAGATAAACAAATATTTAGATTATAAAATGAAGTTATAATCTTTACTGTTTGGAAAGATAATTTCCTTAATGAGAATATTTATCACTTACAGTGACAGAATTTGCATAATGGTCATTGTTTATTGGAACACCATATTTTTGCATATAACGTGCCCATGGAAATAACATGCACATAGTGCACATAGGAAGCTAATGTGCTTAGGTGGGGTGCTTGTATGGTTTGACAAAGCCCATATAACTTGTGTATTTTTTTGCAGAAATACAATAGGTCTGCAGAATGTAGGAAACAGAGGATCCCAGATATCAAGATCCTAAGTTTTAAACACTCACATAGCATTTCGAGCTATGTAAAGGCTATAAAAACACATGCCTCTTTTTTATTGTTGTTTACTTACTTAAATGTAAGTGCTCCATTAGAATATTATTCATTAGGGCTTTATATTTACAAATATTTTTCTATTTGATCACATGATTTTAAGTGTATAGCTTTAAACATAAATGGTATTTTCTATTTTCTAATATGTTTTCATGCTATACATAACAGATTTTATAAGTAAGGTACAGTGGACACACTTGTCTTTTGTACTGTAAAATTTTAATTTCTGTGATGGAAACTTACAGCAAGCTTGAAAATCATGTTAGAATAGCAGATTTGCTTTTAATGGTTATCGAATGATTGATTTTTAGGCATTTTTAAATATCATGAACCAGAAATACTATTAAGAAATTAGCTTTTGAACTGATACTGAAAGATATAATGTGTTTTCTAAGAATTAAGTGCGAGATTACAACAGATTTTAAGGTAGTGCTTGCTAAAACTTTGTGTAAAATGAGTAAAGATAAAACACTTGAAAAGAACTAATTATCCTTAATAATTTGAAACAATTGAAAATGATTTATCTTTGTTTTTATACTTCTTTTCAATGCTGATTATACATTTTTTGTTCTTTTATTCATTGTCAAAGAAAATCGAGAAATGAGCAAGACAAGCGGGAGACTCAACAATGGTATACCTCAGATTCCAGTGAAAAGAGGAGAATCCGAATTTGATTCTTTCAGGCAATCTTTGCCAGTGTTTGAGAAACAAGAAGAAATTGTTCAAATAATTAAAGAGAATAAAGTAGTTTTGATTGTGGGAGAAACTGGGTCTGGAAAGACCACACAGGTTTGTTTCTTTTTTGTTTTTTATAGAACAAGAAAGAAATATTTTATCCCGTTTTGTAGCATTATGTCAAGTTTATAGCAAATGAATTTTAGAGATAGTATATATAAGGTCTTAAGCAAAATGTTTTGCACAGAGTAGCTAAATTAAAAGTAATTTTAATAACAGTTTGTTGTAGAATGGAATTGATACGACAGGTGTGACTTGAATGTTTAGAATCAAGGTACTTTATCATCATAAAGTTAATCAAGGGTGACAGATGGGAAATAAGGCTCAATGATGACTTATTTTTTGTTTATGTGCCTTAACTTTTAGCATATTAGGTAAAATCAATTTGGTCTTGATAGCAGTTCAGATGAGATAGTCAATATAATTGTATATTTTCTTTTATTTTATGGACAAACAAATGAGCTTTTCACAATTGCCTAAAATTTTCTGTGGTTGTATTAATTGGTTTAATAACTTAAGTGGTGAGAAAGATTGACCATAAACCTCACTAGAGTCTTTACTTGTGTGAACTAACCATTTTCATAGAAGTATAACTCTTTATCCTTAAAATTTGAGTCTGTAAAACTAACTAAAACCATGATGAAACTTTTATCTGAAAACAACAAATGATTTTTCTTTTATAATTAAGTTAAATTCTATAAAGTAATTCTAAAAAAATCTGTCCAGATGTCTTAGAATGTTATTTTAGTTTTAATATTGGAGTAAGTTTTGCCACTAGGCCTTAACTGTAGCAGTTTATTTATATTTAATAGAGATTATGGATGTTTTGATAAAATACAATAAATGTGTTTATATTGAAATATCTTTGCTAATGTTGTTGTGGTTATGTGCCGTCTAGTTGGCCCCGACTCATAGCGACCCCTCCTTGGGTTTTCCGAGGCAGTATCACTACAGAAATAGATTGCCCCATCTTCCTTCCGAGGAGTGGCTGGTGGGTTTGAACTGCCAGCCTTCTGGTTAGCAGTCAAGTGCCTTAGGCACTACACTACTGGAGCTCCTGTCTTTGCTAATAGTATTTGTATATTGATATTATGGATGCCAGTTTTCACAATTATGTCTATCATTTTATAAGGTATGAAAAGATGCTTAAGTATTATTTATATCTATTATACTTTTTCCTTTTCAAGAATAAGCTGATAATCTAATGGGTTTAAATCTAAGGAATCATAACTTATTTAAGGAGTTAAAGTAAAATGCTGCATTAAATTTGCTATATTAAAATTACCTATGTTTCTGTTCTATGAAATATAAACTTAAATATATATAACGTAGTAAAATTTAAAGTCAGTATCATTAGCCAGCTCCATTACTCTTTTCATTTAACAGATACTGGCTATTTAGAGAGAGACTTAATTTTTAAAACAATTCCATAGTATTCCTGATCATTTTTATAATAATGATGACAATAATGATAGTTTGGTTTTTGGCTGGGCTTTCATAAGGATTATCTTATTTAAACCTCTCAATAAGCCTAAGACATACAGGTTTTAACTTCCTTTCAGATATGGAATAAAAATAGAAACTTAGAATGTTAACCTTCCCAGAATTATACAGCTAGAAAGTGGCAGAGCAGGGATTCAAACAAAGCGTTTTGTTCTGTTTTACAGTGAAACCTGTGAGAGCTGGAACTCTATGGGACTGCCTTGTTTTTCTTGGTTTCATAATTTTCTGCCTTTGACAGGATGCAGTCTCAGCACTTTTCTATCACTCGTTTTAGTGGAAAATATTTGAGTTTTCCTTATCTGACAGATTTCTTCCTATACAGTGTCCGGCTTTCACAGGTTTTGCTCTACTTACTTTCTTTCAGTATATCCTGCTGTTTCTTTGATTATTTGTGGGAGTGTTTCAATAGGATAGATTACTAGAACTGGAAATGCTGGATCAAAGAAAGGATATGGTAGTTAAAATTTTAGTAGCTGTGTTAACTAGTAATTGTCTAATAACTCTAAAATAGTATTAAAAGTATTGAATATTCCCATTTTTCATTTTGCCTGAGCAAAAATGGAATAATTTTTGCCTTTATCAATCTGACAAGCAAAATATGTTTAATTCCTTGAGAAATATTTTTTCATTTGCTTATTGTTTGTTTATTTTGTGAGTTACTTATATCTTATTTTTCTCTTGCCTTATTGCTGAATTTTTTTGGAATTTTTTGTGATTTGGGTGAAATTTTTCAAAGATACATTTTACATTCAACAGTTCATACATATTTTGTTTTGTGATACTGGTTACATTCCCCGTAGGATTAACAGCTCTCCTCCCACTTCTTCCTGTATTTAGTCTTTGCCTGTGCCCTTCTTGCCTATGCTTTCCTGCTTCCCTACCTTTCTCCCTGTGTGAATGCTGCCCTTCTGATCTCCCATGGTGGGTTGTTCTGAAGGAGTACATTTCCCTGGTGTAGGTGTTCAGCTTGTAGGCCTGTCTGTTGTTTGGCGGAGAGTCATGCCATGGGAACAAGTTCAGCTCTAGGCCCGAAGGATGAACAGGGGCCATAGTCTCGGGGTTTCACCAGTCTCTATCAGACCAGTAAGCCTGGTCTTTTTTTTTTTTTAATGATTTTGAGTTTTGTTTCACATTTTTCTGTCACTCTACCATGATCTCCAATTTTGATCCCTTTCAGAGAGGTTGGCCTTGGTACCCAGGCACCATCTAGCTCTTCTGGTCTCAGGGTCATTTAGGCTGAGGTTTTCATGGTCCATTAGTCCTTTGGACTGTTTACATGCATCTTTGATTTTCTTCAGTCTTCTTTGCTCTGGATGAGGCCCAATAGTTAGTTGCCTTTTAGATGGCTGCTCACAAGCTTTTAAGATCCCAGTGGCTACTTACTGAAGTAAGATGTAGAACAATATTTTTGTATCCCATGTTGTCTGAATTGAGCTTGATGTCCCCTGTGACCATGGTTGCCAGTCCAGGTCCCAGCAACTCACTCCCTTAAGATGCTTAATTATGGCTAAGATCTTACCCTAACTTTGCCTCCCATTAGGTTTAAATCGCATATAGACATTTTTATAGCACCTGCAAGTATGTAGGAATATTGTCTGCTAAACCTGTATATAAACCAAACCCACTGCCATTGACTTGATTCTGACTCATAGTGACTCTATTGGGTTTCCAAGGCTGTAAATCTTCATGGAAGCAGACTGCCCCATCTTTCTTCTGCAGAGCCCCTGGTGAGTTTGAATCACTGACATTTTGGTTGGCAGCCAGATGACTTAACCACTATACCACCAGAGCTCCTTCACCTATGTATGTATGGTTATGGGTTTATTCCCATTTGCCTATCCATACCTGATCTTTTTGCCTGTCTACTTATGTATCTACTTTGTAACTTATTTAAGGAGTCAAAGTAAAATGCTGCATTAAGTTTACTATATTAGATTAGTGTTTGCTGTTACTGATAGTGCAGTATCATGTATGCATTTTATTTGCCTTTATTATCTGTACCTCTTGTGTACCTCTGTAGTCTTCCTTTTCCTTAGTGATATTGTTCTAGTCACACATTTCTGTTATATTGCTTTTCCCTTCATCCATATCAAACCTGGCTCCTAATTATTCATCTGTTTTCCCTCTCTTCCCTCCCCTCCTATCCCTGTAACTAACACAAAAAATTTCCTTCCCTGTGTAAACCTTTCCTTGACTTTTTATAATAATGGACTCATATACAATGTTTGTCCCTGCTGAATTTAGTTTTAAGAGTGCTTTATATATTATAGATGCATGCCTATTGTCAGATAGTGTAAAAATTATTTCTCCCAACTTTTTGTTTGCTTTTTAGTTTTGCTTATTGCATCGTCTTTAGTTCTTTCAGCTTGAGAAATGCTGAGCATGTTCTTTCCTTTTGGTTTTCTAATTCTGGGTCTTTGCACATTTCATTATAATAATTTGCTTTGTCTTCTCAAATTGCTCTTTGAAATCTTCTATTCATCTCTTTTATCTAGTCATTTCTTGCATTTTCCCCATTCAAGGGCAAGTTTTAGAGTCTATTTGGACATCCATTCTGGTCTTTTCTTCCTTTCCTGTCTTTTCAGTGACCTATTGCTTTCCTCATGTATGCTGTTCTTGATGTCATCCCACAGTTCCTCTGGTTTTCAGTCATTGATGTTCAGTGCACCAAATCTATTCTTTAGATGGTCTCTAAATTCAGGAGGGATATAATCAAGTTCATATTTTGGCTCTCGTGGGTTTCTTTTTATTGTCTTTCACTGTACTTATTCAATCTGTATGCTCAGCAAATCCGAGAAGCTGAGCTATCTGAAGAAGGACGTGGCATCAGGATTGGAGGAAGACTCATTAATAACCTGCGATATGCAAATGACACAACTTTGCTTGCTGAAAGTGAAGATGACTTGAAGCACTTAATGATGAAGATTGAAGACTACCATCTGCAATATAGATTACACCTCAATATAAAGAAAATGAAAATCCTCACAACTGGACCAATAAGCAACATCATAATAAATGGAGAAAAGATTGAAGTTGTCAAAGATTTCTTATCCTTGGTTCCACAGTCAACACCTGTGATAGTTAAGTTGTATGTCAGCTTGGATTGGTCTGGTTGAGTGGCTGGGCAGCTGGATGTAATTATTCCTTATGGTGAGATTGGTAATTCATTCCATGGTGGAATTTACTAGAGCAGCGGAGTAGCTGCTTTCAGGATGTGGGCTGCTTCCAGTTTATAAGAAGCACCTTTGAGGAAGGTCTCCAGTTGATGGCATGCATGAACCCTGTATGTAACCGAGTCATTGTTCAGCAGCCTTCCATGTTGCCCTGCTGATCTTAGGACTTTACATGGACTTGAAGTAATGGCCTGCCATATGGTTTGGTAATATTGGTACTGTGCCTTTTCACTTGCTGACCTTGGGTTTGTCAGCCTCAGCAGCTAGCAGCTACCTGAGTGAAAAGATGCCTCTAACTTCAGTGGGCCAGGAGTAAGAGGCAGAGCTGAAGCCCAAGGTCAAGAGGCTTTCACCCAGCCCCTAGAGCCTGGCATCTGGAACTCAGACTTCTGGCCTCCACAATTGTAAGAGAATAAACTCCTGTTTATTAATGCCATCTCATTTGTGATGTTTCTGTTAGAGTTGCACTAGGTAACCAAAACAACACCATGGAAACAGCACTCAAGAAATCAGACATTGTATTGCACTGGGCAAATCTGCTGCAAAAGACCTCTTTAAAGTGCTGAAGAGCAAAGATGTCTCTTTGAAGACTGAGGTGCACCTAATCCAAGCCATGGTATTTTTGATTTCCTCATATGGATGTGAAAGCTGGACAGTGAATTAAGAAGACCGAAGACGAGTTGGTGCTTTTGAGTTGTGGTGTTGGCAATGAATATTGAAAGTACCATGGACTGCCAGAAGAACTAACAAATCTATCCTGGAAGAATTGCAGCCAGAATACTCCTTGGAAGTGAGAATGACCAGACTTTTTTCTCGCCTACTTTGGTCATGTTGTCAGAAGGGATCATTCTGTGGAGAAGGATATGCTTGGTAAAGTGGAGTGTCAATGCAAAAGGGGAAGGCCTTCAACGAGATGGCTTGACACAGTGGCTGCAATGATGGGCTCAGGTATAGCAAGGATTGTGAGGCTGGCACAGGACTGGGCAGTGTTTTGTTCTGTTATATGTAGGGTCCCTGTGAGTTGGAGCCGACTCAGTGGCACCTAACAACAATAACAACAACATGGTATCTGCAGTTATGTAGTAGTTTTTATTTTGTTAAATCTGTCACTTTTTTTTTTAGGTCTTCTGGGTTATGTGCAACGGTTAGAAAGGCATTTTCCTATATGTATTTTATTCTTATACTTTTATACTTAAAGCTTAAAAATCCACTTGGAGTTTATTCCATGATGTCATATCAGTAGAAATCATACCTTTTTTTCTCTCATGTTAATATCTAGTTTTTCTAAAAACTTTGTTTAATAATCTGTCTTTTTTCCCAATTTAAAATGCCACTTTTACGAACAATAGACAGCCCTATAGGGTCCACACTAACACTAGGGCGGTAGCACTAACACTAGGGTGGTAGCACTCCTTAGAACAGTCGATCATATGAGAATCAAAAGGGCAGCATTTGTCCAGGGAGGAAGCTCAGAATGTGAGAAGGTATGGGAAAGGTGGACGATTGAAAATGGGAAACACAGGAAGGAAGTGGGAAATGTCTTGTTACATTGTGGAGATTGCAGTCAGTGTCATAAAACAAAAATGTATATCAGTTGTTGAATGGAAAATGAATTTGTTCTGTAAATTTCACCCTAATCAGAATAAAAAGTTAAAAAAAAAAAAATAAAACTCCTGTCTGCTAATTTCAGAAAAAAATAAGATGCTACTTTTTTTTTTAAATTTTTGTTGTGATTTGGGTGAAGGTTTACAGAGCAAATTCACTTTCCGTGAAGCAGCTCACATACACTTTGTCTCATGACATTGACTGCGATTTCCCATAATGCAACAGCTCCCTTCCCACTTCCTCCCCATAGTTACCTCTTCCCTGTGTCCTTCCCTCCCATGCACTCTTGCCCCTGAACTGTCTTCCTGTGTATACACAGCCCTTCTGTTCTCCCATGATTGTTCTCTCCAAGGAGTGTATCTACTTAATGTAAATGTTCAACTCATATGCCTGTCTTTTGTTTGGCTGACAGCCACAGGAGTGGGTTTAATTCCAGACCTGAAGAGCAGCTAGGGGCCATAGTCTCAGGGGTTCTACCAGAAGGTGCCACTTTTAATCAAATACACTGTACTAAATTTTTATTGTACCTAGGTCTATTTCTGATATTTTAGTTATATATTTTTAATGTAATCATCTATTCTTATACTAGGTAGGATCCCACTTTTTGCTTTTTTAGTTTTATAGTATATATTTCCATGTATGTAAATACTGTAACATGTATATTACAGTTACTTTAAAACATAATATTCCTTCATTAGCATTCACTTCTTGGTGATTCTTGTGCATTTATGTTTCTGAATGAACTAGTAAAAATGTTTAAAATTTCCAGCATCTAAGAAATGTATTAAGAGATGTGCTTTCTCATACATAAGTAAATGAAAATCAAAACAACAATTATATTTTTCAACTATCTGATTGGCAGAATTGAAAAAACTGATGATATCTAGTCTTGACATGGATATTGGAAAATCAACACCTACTGCTTTGTTGGTAGGAGTATAAAGTGGTTTGGAGGGCAATTTGATAATTTTTCTATGTAAATTAAGAATTCATTCTCTAACTTAGCATTTTCACTGCTAGTAATTTGTGGTACATATATCTTTGCAAAAGTATGTAGAGAGAGATGTTCACTGCAGTGTTGTTTATAATAGCAACAAGCAATAACATCAATAATAACTACATAAAAAACTGAAAATTACTTAAATGTGTAGTTAGGGTTGTAGTAGCACATCCATAAGGTAAATTCTAAAATGAATTAGGTAGATCTGATAGGTAAATGAAAATTACAAATTACAGATATTAAGTACATTTATCACTTGTGTGTGAATAAAAAACATGTTTATGTACACAAATAAACTGAATTGTGTAAACTTGCTTGGTTCCCTGAAAGTGCAAGTAAGAAAATTAATAGTGGTTACTTTCATAGAGAGGACTGTGGGTGATGGTGGACTTTTACTTTTAAATTATAAAGCTTTCTGACCTGTTTGAATTTTCTTAATAGAAGAATGTCCACAACCTGAAAGCCATTTTTCTTTTCTTTATTCTTCTCACTGTTTAAAAAATCCAAATGGAATCTTGATTGTCATTTCACTGACTTTATAGAATAATTTGTGGGAGAACCTAGATGTTTAGAATATTGACTGTTCCCGTTCAGGAATATGGCCTTTCTTTTTTTTTATCTTCAATTTTTTAAAAAATAATTATTTATACAAATATATTTATTCCCCTCTCTCCTTTTTTGAATTAATTAATTTATATTTTGTCTTCCCCTTTACTCAAGTTAATATGTATCTATCCTCCAGTAGTTTACCCTCCTTTCTCTATCCACCCCTGGTAACTATCAAAGAATATATTTTTTGTGTGTGAAACTGTTTTCTTGATTTTTTACAACACTGGTCTCATATAATATTTGTCCTTTTGTGATTGACTAATTTCACTCACTGTAATGTCCTTTAAGTTCATCCATGTTATGATATGTTTGACAGATTCATCATTGTTCTTTAACATTGGGTAGTATTCCATTGTGTGTGTGTATATGTATCATAGTTTGTCGATCCATTCCACCATTGACGGTAATTTAGGTTGTTGCTTTTTTTTTTTTTGCCATTATGAATAGTGCTGAGATGAACATGGGTGTGCATCTGTCTGTTTGTGTCATGGCTCTTATTTCTCTAGGTATCTAGTAGTAGGATTGCTGGATCATACAGTATTTCTATTTCCAGCTTTTTGAGGAAGCAGTGTGGCATATACATATATATATTATTCAAGTTTTTTTATGCTTTTGAGCATTTTATAGTATTTTTCATGTAAGCCTTTATGATTTCTTGATAAACTTATTTTTAATATGTTAGTTTTAGTTTTTATTGTGAACAAGATCTGTTTGAGTGACATTTTCTAATTATTAACATGTGCATGAAAGTGGTTGATTGATTTCCTTATTATTATTTTATATTTTGACACGTTACAGAACTTTTTTAGTTCAAATAACTTTTTATTGGATTCAGTTGGGTTTTCTGGTATACAATCATGCCATCTTACAATGTTTTAAAATTTTTGTTTCAGATTCCTCAGTTCCTTTTAGATGACTGCTTCAAAAATGGTATCCCCTGTCGTATATTTTGTACGCAACCAAGACGATTAGCAGCAATTGCTGTGGCTGAAAGAGTTGCTGCAGAGAGAAGAGAAAGGATTGGTCAGACAATTGGATATCAGATTCGATTAGAAAGCAGGTAAAGATAATCTTCTTGTAGTGTCTTTTATTGGGTTTAAGAAAGACTAAATATTTATATTTCATATTTAAAAATAAGGACTATGTTAACTGAAACATTAGGTGATCATTTTGTTCCAAGTATCAGATACAGAGGTTGTGTCTAAACTCACTGAATTTTTAAAAAAATTTGTATTGTGATTTGGGTGAGAATTACAGAGCAAATTCACTTTCCATGCAGCAGCTCACATACACTTCATCTCATGACATTGACTGCAATTTCCCACAATGCAACAGCTCCCTTCCAGCTTCTTCCCCATAGTTACCTCTTCCCTGTGTCCTTGTCTCCCATGCATTCCTGCCCTCTGAGCTGTCTCCCTGTGCATACACAGCCCTACTATTCTCCCATGATTGATCTCGCTAAGAAGTTTATCTACGTAATGTAAATGTTCAGCTCATAAACCTGTCTTTTGGTTGGCTGGAAGCCACAAGAGTGGGTTCAGTTTCCGACCTGAAGAGAAGCTAGGGGCTATAGTCTCAGTGGTTCCATCAGGTTCTATCAGACCAGCAAACCTGGTCTCTCTCTTTTTTTTAATGATTTTGTAAACACTGAATTTTTTGAATATATATTATTTGAAAATATAATGATCAAAGTATAAAGGAAACTAAGTTATTATTTTCTCCTTTTTAAAATGTCCTGTTTGATAAGGTAGTAACATTTAGTAGAACATATTTTATATTGCTTGTGTTCCAAAGTGACATCTGATCTGTTACCCATTTAAATTTGTGAAGCTGGAGAAATTCCAAAAGAAAGAATATATCTTACTACCCAGAATCAAAGCTGCTCCTATGTCAGTATCTCATTTATGATAACAGAGTAATATATTTTAGTTTCAGATAATTTATTATTCAAGAAAAAGAAACTTCCTCAAAAAGCTATGTGGTCCACAATACGGTAGTTCAGATGCAGTAATTCTGCCTGTTCAAGGCATTATGTGGGACTCATCATCCTATAGAGATAGATTTTATTTCAGTGTAAGTCCTTTAGCCAAGGGAAAAATTCCACAGCAAAAAGGGAAAATTCCCAAAGACAGTTTATCAATCCTAACTAAGACTAAATCAACCAAACCAAACTCCCTGCCGTCATGTCGGATCCTACTCATAGTGACCCCTCCTTGGGTTTCCAAGGCAATATCGCTGCAGGAGTAGATTGTCTAATCTTCCTTGTGAAGAGTGACTGGTGGGTTTGATCTGCCAGCCTTTTGGTTAGCAGTCAAATGCCTTAGGCACTACGCCACCAGAGCTCCCTTAACTAAGACTAGGAAGACTAAAATAAAGGTATTTTTCTCTATGATGTTGTTGTTGTTGTTGTTAAGTGCCGTCGAGTCGTTTCCGACTCATAGCCACCCCATGCACAGCAGAACGAAACACTGCCCGATCCCGCACCAGCCCCACAATCCCTGCTATACTCGAGCCCATCATCGCAGCCACTATATCAATCCATC